TTTTTTTTGTTTTTTTTTCTGAAATATATATTTTCTTTAGAGATTGTGAAAGACAGCGGACAAACACAAATTCCTGAAATTTAATTTTAAGAGAAAGGTTATTTCAGAGATATTTCAGGAGAAATATCCTGCAATCACTGCATGAATAATACATAAGTTAAAGAAATGGGCACAACAATTTTTATATAGACATCTGGTTTTTCCGACACAAAGGAAAAGTTATGAATGTATCAAAACAAATTTTCAGAGTGGTTGAAAAAGCTTTATATCTATCAAACACCACCTACTCATCATATGGGAAAAACCTTCTCCAGACCAAAAGCGCAATATTCATAAATCCAAGACAACAAGCATTTGTTAAAATAAGTCAACCCTACTGGAAAGTCATGATGGCGCATTACACAAGGAGGTGCTGTTAATGCTAACATTTATTTCCTTTATTGAAATCCCACTCAGTGCAGTGTTAAGTACCACATGCTTAATAAAACTCATCCATCTGTTTCACATAAAGCCCAGGAGGCCCGTGCTGCAGTCATTTACCCATGGTGCATTGCCACTCTGTATAAATTACTCTTGCTATCTCAGGCTTCAAATGGTGGCTCAGAAGTATGTCATTCCAACAAAGCTGCAATTAATAAAGTGAAAAATCACAGTACATTGCAGATTTTTAAAAAGGAAATGAAGAAGAAGAGAAAAAAAGATTAGTGACTTAAAAGGATGTACTTTGGGAGTGGGGTATCTTATAAAGTGAAACAAAAGAGGGATATACTCCCCCCTCCCCCCCAGTTTAACTGAGACATGACATTTAAAGAATCCCAATGATCCAACGAAAGTGGAAAACTCCTCCCAGACCAGGGTTATTATAGTTAACTAAAACTAGAACCAGAACTAAAATAATAATAATAATAATAATAATAAAAAAAATATATAAACTAATATAACATAAAATATAAAAACTTTTTTGAATATATTTTAACGTTTTCTTTTTAACTTAAACTTTTTGTTTTCAGCTAGTAGCCAAAGTAAGATTTCAGATTTTCAGTTAGTTTAGGAATATATTAAAATAACAAAAAAACGACATAAAATAATAATATAAAACCTGTATAGACATTAATAAAAAAAAAAACACAAAAAAAAAACTGCTAAATAAAATTACAAAAACACACACCAGAAAAACTTTAACTAAAATTGAAATGAAAATGGAAATAAATAAAAAATACATTTCCCCACACTTTTAGAATGACATTAGATGGTAGATCATAACAGCATTTTCCGGTTAGAAGCAATGTTCATGCATAAGCTGCCAAACATCTGAACTAACCAAATTTAGATATTACGTGTGAGTGTGTTTATTTTAGTGAGAATTGCTTGCAAGTTAAGCTGTTAACAATTGAAAATCTCCAACATCTGAAAACTCGCTATGTTGTTGATGTAATTCAACACTTCAAACGGGGGGTAGAATAAGACAAGCTAAGAAATGCAGATGAACGTTACTGATGTGCATTGTTTAATACCACTAATGCTACAAGCTTTACACCTCATCAGACATATCATGGTGAAATGATTCGTTTTTTAAAACCTCCATGAAGCGCAGTGCTTCCGGTGGCTGAGATCGGCTGGGATGGCTGTCACTGACGAACGACTCAGAACTTATTTACTGCTGATAAACAGATGGTACTTCACAGACCTGCGAGTTGAAAAAAAGAAGAGAAACCCATCTGGATAAGAGGGAGGTGAGCGCAGATTAAATCTCGGTGCCGTCAAAGGCTTGCAGGAAGCTCTCGTGTAGTATGACAACATCTTAATGAGTCTCCCATCTCTCGCGTTCACCCGCTCAAATATATCACGCCGATGCACCTGTGACCTCCTCATGTGCTTTTGAAGGTCATAAAAATACAAAACCCGTTAAAACAATCTGGAAGAGTGTTGAAACATCCCAGGTCTGCCTTTGAATGTGAAACGAGAATTAACTTTTCCACGACATTCTAATTTATTGAGATGCACCTGTATATTAACTTCACATTGCATAATAACTGTTATTGCGCTCCAGTTATGTCAGTCATTTCACACACCGGATCCAATTCGTATGTCTTTTGAGTTTCTGTCTATGACAGATCCATTTCATGTCGGCCGTCCAATAACACTCATTGTAAATCAGACTAAATGCAATCAAAAGCACCTTGTGTAACAGATCAAGGCTTTTCCCATGGCCAAAGTGTGTAAGGACCTAAGTAATATATGATTTTAGAAGGTGGAAATATATGCATAGCAAGACAGAACAGGCTCTGACCCACTGAACGAGATACCGCCTCGTCTGCTTCAATAGATGTGATGCCATAATTATGCTTCTGTAGCCCCTTTTTGTTCTCTCAAGCACTTTGAAAGAAACTGTCTGCCTTTTCCAACCTCTCAGCCTATTCACCGCTCTACCTTTCATTCCCCAAGAACATAATGATCATACAAAGCCACAGAAGAAGCAGCTGAAATGATGACTAAAGCTATAACCCGTTTGTCTTGTGTAGGGAATCTCTCTATCTTTCTGCTGGCCGCATCTTCGTCTTCCTTGCAGTATTTCACTTTTATTCCAGCTGGCTTTCTCACACCTTTTCACAAGGGTTGTTTCGCATAGCTTTAACTAAGTTGGAGTAAGTTGTAGATATGATTATGCCTCCTGTATGTTTCACAGGCAGTTTTTAATACTTCTACATGATTGCAATCTGGATGGTTATACGGGTTCGCGTTTCCACTCAATCCCTGGAATGTTATCCTAATTTCCCTTTTTTCCATATTTCTTATTACTTTTCTTTATGTCACTGTCATCCATATCTTGAATAAAACTGCCATTTTTAACCTCTCTGCTCTTTTCTCTCACTTGATGTGGCTGTTTCTCATTTAATGCTTTATTTTTTTGTGCTCAATGATTTCAGTACAGCACAAATTATGGTATAAAATAATTGTAAATCAACTCATCACATCTATATTAACACCACGGCCCTTCATTATTTAGCCTTTTACATGTAAATGCTATTTCAAGATATTTTAAGATCTCATTGAAAATGTTATATTGTCTTTAATTGGAATTTTAATATATATATATATTTTAATGGCTGTAAGATATTATTTTTTCATTTAGGATTATAGAAATATAAAAGCCACTTTTACCCTTAGAATTTTTTCAGGATTAGTGTCAGATATTTATGAAAGCCCATTTATGCCAAGGGATTAAAAAATATATAATACGGTTGCGACTTATCTCACAACAAAAACTGTTTACACCAAAGAACTGTGACATATAAACTCAGAATTGCAAGATATAAACTCACAATTCAGAACTGCGAGATGTAA